GTATGTTACTTAGTACTGTTATCCAAGGTAGGAGCTAGGAAGTTCAAGCATCTGCCAAAGGAGTTCTTGGGATATTTTAAACTACAGTGGAATGCTTCTCAGTGATAGGACGAGAGGAAATGGCTTCAAGTTGCGGCAGGGGAAGTTTAGATTGGATATTAGGAAAAATTGCTTTACTGAAAGGGTTGTTGGGCATTGGAACAGGCTGCCCAGGGAAGTGGTTGAGTCACCATCCCTAGAGGTATTCAGAAAGCGCGTAGACAAGGCACTTCAGGACATGGTTTAGTGGGCATGGTTGACAGTTGGCCTCGATGATCTTAAAGGTCTTTTCCAACCTAAGCGATTCTATGATTCTATGACTACTAGGTACACTAAACTTTACGCTAAAAATTCAGTATAAAACCGTAATATAGCTAGGACATTGCAATATGTTTTGTCTTTTTACCGTTTCACTTTCCTCCTGTTAGTAACTTCAGTGGAACTTTTTGACATGTGACATCATCTTGTTCAGTGCATTTACCTTTGCATTATGCTCACAGTATGCCTGGACTGTTATCTACGTTTCTCTATCACAGTGCTAAGGAACTTTTACTGCTGAATGTTGCACTGAGTATTTGTTAGCATTATGCACATATGCTGAGGCTACCAATCCAGAAAAAATACATATGGTTCTTTAAACCCATCTAACCATTGCCTAACAATCCTTTCTGTAGGAAAAGTAATGATAGAAGAAGAAGTGAAAGAGGAAATAAAAGAAGAGATGGAAACGCATGCAGGTCCAGAAGAAGGTAAATTTGTAACTCTCTACTGTGTGATACAAGATTAAAAAACAACTGTAACTCTGAGAAATTAATGTTAAAATGTAAATCCCAAATCTGGTGTACGTTGTGATTTGTATTCAGACTTAGCATATGCTCATGCCAAGAACTAGAGTAATTTAAGAATGCACAGAGTAAGCAGTTGCCAATATCTGATACTTCAAAAGATTTTTCCTTTGCTCCTAATTCATATGTACAAAGTTGTATAGCTTTGGAGTTTTTTGGGTTTAATATGTACTTGACAAAACCCTGGGAGTCTGAAGTAATCTAAGAATCTCTGAAAGAAAGTTGAGTCCAGTTTTAGCTAACCTAAATACTCTGTGTTAGGATCTTTGTAGTCATGGGGGAAAATAGGACCTATAAATCAAAAATGATTGTAAGATTGTATGCTTAAATGGGAAGGCGGGCAGAGTGTTTTTTTATTTTATTTTATTTGCATTATCTTTCTTCTTTTAAATATAAGGCTTATTTTCCTAACACTTTGCTGTAGAACAAAGTCAAATGTGGACAGTAGGGATTCTGCTATTTACCTTAACAGACCGAGCCAACTGTAAACTATATAATTTCATAATATTTATATCACAGAATAAGTGGTGGTTTAAGATTGAGTGTAATAAAAGATCTAAAAATGTATTTTTAAAATATATTAAATTTCACATTTTGGGTGTTCAGTTTTAAAATCTATCTATAATACCAAATGTAATGACTGTTGCTGATAATAAGTTTCATAGATTGGTCCTATGTTCTGTAAGTGTTCCTATTAAGTATTTTAATTTTAAGTGCTGTTTAATTCCACTTAATGAATTTCACTTTTAGCCTGTCAAAATACATGCCTGTCTTTAAACCAAATAATAAAAGCAAGATGTGCCTTTCTTACAGAAGATTTTTCCTTTAAAAGTGAAAGTAATGCTTAAATAGTCATTAAATATGCTGAGAATTGATTGGTTTGAAAAGTTTTATGTAATACAAAGAAATTTGTTATCACTTCTTGTTTGCCTATGTGTATGACTCTGATCTGGAATCATTACTTTGATCCTATTTCAGTTTTTGCACCCTCTGGAAGTTTAGGAAAAACAACTGAAAAGCCAAGCAGCAAAGAGAAAGAGAAAACTTCATCAGATTCTGGGTCCAAAGAAGGATCTGATAAGAGGAAGCGCAACAGAGTCACTGAAAAGGTCTTAAACGCAAACAGTAATCCTTCCAGTCCAAGTGCTGCAAAACGACGCAGAACATAAAGCAAGCTGTGAAAGAGAGAAGTAATAAACTCTGGAACGTGAGGAGGGAACAGTAAAAACGAGTAGCAGGATAGTCGCTACATAAACTTTTTGAGAAGGGGAAAAGATACCTGAGCCAGGTATTGAAGAATCTGCACATTGGCATTATACATGCAAAACTTTGTCTTTCCCGATGTGTTTTCTAGTCAGCAGCGAGTAGCTGAGCGATGGCTGCCTTCTCAGGGCACTGGGGGAGAAAGCTGGCAGCATTAAGAGTTTATGCGTATGTAACAACTCCGGTGGTTGCATTTCAACCAAGTAATGCGCTCTGTGTCAGCCTAGTTCATGAAACAAGTGCTCAGTGAAACACGGAGCCTGAGTTCACGAAAAGCATAGGTTATTTCTGTAAATTTTGGATTGTTTTTTCTGCCTTTGCTTTGTTGCTGTCTTTGAGTATTACAGACCCTCTGTGGGTAATGTTGTTTGGCCATTTGACTTACTGCAAACATAGCGTTTGTATCAAATATCTGAATTCGTTGGTTCAGTAAAACTAAAATTCTTTTAAATACAGATAACTACTGAGTTGAAGTGTTCTTTCGCTCTGTTTGCTGGAGGAACCTTTACTTCTTTCACCCTTAGCGACATAACATTTTCCAGTCTTTTTAAGTGTATGTACTATAAGTGAAGTGAAAATGACAATGCCCCTAGACAGAATAATTAATAAGTGTCCTAAATAAAATATCCAGTGATGTCACATGGTTTTGTAAGGGATCAGCTGAGCCGTGCATGAACCTGGAGATGTTGCCTCATCCATTTGTAATATAGTAGTATATAACAGTGGGGTTTGTACTTCATTATTTATTTTTTTAATGCAGTTTTAGTAGACCTTAATGGAATTGGTATTCCAAAATGTTAATTTTGTTCTACAACTTAAGAATCTTACTGACATTGTAATGCTTACCTTTAATATGCTAGAATATTAAGATTTTATGAAGTTAACTATTTTTGTGTTGTGAAAAGATGGACTGCAATCAACAAACACATGTTAAATGGTGAATGAAGTAGGCTGAAATGTTACTGAATTTGTTTCACCATATTAACTATCGGTTAATAAAAAGAAGAATTACTTCTTAATCTGTCAGTATTGCCTTCAAGGTGAGGAACTTAGGAATCTGCTGGTTTTTGCATTTATTCTAGGTACGTAGCCAAGTTCTTGTCTGCCTTATTTGCTTCAATTGTTTTATAGCAAGAATAAATTCGACTTGTTTTTATTTTACTAAATGGTAATTGTTTTGTAACTTGATTAAAATTTGGCCCAACTTATTCTGAAAGTTATTTGGGTATCTTGTGCCTTTAGTGAAAGTGGTCAAAAGTGCCTACCTGGGGTTTGGGGTTTTTTTGTTTGTGTTTTTTCTTTTTTTACTAACTTTGCCTGGATCTTACAAAACTACTACCCTGTTATTTCTATAAGATACTTGATAAGAAATCCTGGGCAGCTGAACTCAGTAGGCAGGTTGCTGTGAGCTTCCAAACTAGAGGATTTTCTCTGTTCTGACTAGCATAATGGAATTGTGAAGTACCGAGTTGAGAAGGTGAAGTTTTTGTCGCAGTCTTTTGGAAGCTCACCTGTGCCCCCTCTTGTATGCACTGGTGAGCTCTACAAGGTCAGAACTCTGCCGGGATGGCAAGCTCACTGTTTTAGGGTCTGAGATAGCGGGGCATAAACAAATTCCAAACCAGAAGGTATGAAAAGTTTAGTTTATGGAGAGTTTAGTGCTGTGCTCCGATAAGCCTTGCAAAATGTCTGTGAGATAGCTGCCAGCTGGAGAGCTCCGTGGAGCTCTAGTTTGTGGGAGAGATGCTGCAGGAGTCTCAGAGGTTTTCTGGGTGGGTAGAAAATGAACTTTTATGACCTTATGGGAGGAAGCTCGGGTTTAATTTTGATGTTTAAGAAAAACAATTTATTTGGAATGATCGACTTCCTAGAAGTTGTAATTATATGTCACTTACAGATCTGTCATCGGAGTGAGTGGTGACAGATGAATGCCTCTGTTCAGTTTTGCTGTTTCCTTAAGAATTAAAGTGCTGGTTACTTTGTTGTGACCTACATAGATCTTGGCCATAAAGTGCAGACTTTGTGACTTTCAAGTCTCACAGCCTTGTGGGTAAATCCTTTTCATCCAAGGGATTGTAGTCTAAATTTTTTTGCTGTACCAATGAAACGGTTTTTTATAGCTTAAAGTAGAAATGCGTCAACATTAACATGTACTGGTGCAATCTCTCAACACCATGCTTGAAGCAGGGAAAGTCCATTTGGGGTTTCACGGTCAATCCAGCAACACGGATTTTTTAAGGAATGCGTTGGTTGCGAAGTTAGATATTTGGAAAATGTAAATGTGTTAAAAGACCTGGGTTGCTGCAGCTCTTTTCCTCCCTTCCCTTTCACCAAGTCCTGGCTTTTTGGGAAGATTGTTCTTTTATTCATTTTCCTGTTGGAGGAATATTACCCCATCCTACAGACGGAGCACGTTTTTAACGTGCGAAGAGGTTAAATACACAACTCTTGCTGAATTCTTTGCTCTGAAGGAAAGAGGAAAGCTCCCCTTACCTCCAGTATCTTGCTTCCGATCAATTTCTGCGCTCGGGGAGGGGGGAGGCATAGCCTCCCAGCGCCGGGGTGGATGGAAAAGAGCAGAATTATGTTTCCCTCTTTTTTTTTTTCCCCCCCCTTTAGGTGGTCACGCCGAAGGGAAGGAAGAATCCCTGCAGCCCTCCGCGGCGCCCGGCTGCGTGAGTGAAGGGGCAGAGGGAAAGCAGCGGGCGGGCGCAGGGACCGCGCGGCAAAGAGCCGGGCGACGGCCAATGGGGCGCGGCGCCGCAGGAAAGGGGCGGGGAGTGCGCGCTCTTCCTTCCCTCCCCACTTCCCCCCCCCCCCCC